ACCTCATTACTGTATTTAATTTCCCTCTTGTGGTCAAAGCCAATGATTGCAGTGATAATGACAGTTGCTAAAAACTCAGCCCAAGGCTATTTCAGAGGGCACTGAGTTAAGATATTCTTTAGTTTTTGTGTATGTGTGTTTTAAATGGTCAATCAAGGGTAGAATATCCGCTGTTCAATCACTAGAGGAAAGAATATTTTTTAATTATCTTGATTCTAGAATAATTCATGCATTGTTTTTACCTTAGATATGAAGAGTTCATTTGTGTCCTGTCATTCCCTTTGTCACTACAGTGGGGCCTTGACTTAGGAGTGTCCCGACTAACGTGTTTTTTTGAGATACGAGCCGTCTCTTGGCCGATTTTTTGCTTTGAGTTGCAAGCTAAAATTCGGGTTACGTACGAGCCAGCTTCAGATACCCTACTGCTAGTTGGCGCAGTGAATGTCACAGTGATTTGACATACGAGTAATTTGAGTTACGAGCTCCGTCCCGGAATGAATTAAACTCGTAAGTCAAGGCCCCACTGTATACATTTTTAAGGTAGAGATCTAGAATAATTTAATTAGCAAGATTGCCTAGACCCTGTATTCAAGGTCACTGCCTGTTAGAATCCTATTATCTATCTATCTATCTATCTATCTATCTATCTATCTATCATTTTGATTTCAGAAAGGAAGGGAGAGGGAGAGAGAGAGATAGAAACATCAGTGATGAGAGAGAATCATTGATCGGCTACCTCCTGCACACCCCCTTCTGGAGATCGAGCTGGCAACCTGGGCATGTGCCCTTGATTGGAATCAAACCTGGGACCCCTCAGTCTGCCAACGCTCTATCCACTGAGCCAAACTGGCTAGGAAAGAATCGAATCATTCTAATCCTCGAATGATACTGAGTGGGTAAGAAAAAAAAACAAGTAATATTCCATAGCAAGGAAAGTGGAAATATCAGTGGTAGGAAGCTCATTAGTGAAGAAAAGAACAAAAGAAGGTAAAGCAGAAACATATCATATCTATACTAATAAAAGGGTAATATGCTAATTAGACTGGCAGACCTTCTGGGAGACCTTCTGGACAAAGCCATTGTGGCGGGGCCTAGGCAGAAGTGGTTAGGGGCGATCAGGCCAGGAGTGGAGGGCAGTTGGGGGTGAGCAGGCCAGCAGGGTGGGCAGTTAGGGGCGAGCAGGCTGGGGAGGGGGGCAGTTGGGGTGATCAGACTGGCGGGGGTGGGCAGTTAGGGGTGATCAGGCCAGAAGGGGGGTGCAGTTGGGGGCAATCAGGCTGGCAGGCAGAGTGGTAAGGGGTGATCAGGCAGGCAGGCAGGCAGGTGAGCAGTTAGGAGCCAGCGGTCCGGATTGCAAGGGGGGATGTCCGACTGCCGGTTGTCCCACAGGGATTGGGCCTAAACTGGCAATCGGACATCCCCCAAAGGGGTCCTGGATTGGAGAGGGTTCAGGCTGGGCTGAGGGACCCTGCCCCCACCCCCCCATGAATTTCGTGCACTGGGCCTCTAGTAGTAGTAGTAGTATGAATATCCAAGTACCTTTTTTCTTTTTTTCTTTTTTTTTACTCTGCATTGAGTTTCTCTTAGAGAGGAATGCTGTTTTACTCAAATTTGTATCATACCATGAAATATAAATATTTTGGGAATAAATCTTCTCAGTTCAGGAGATACAAGTAATGATTTGCAACAAATATACCCTTTAAGTACATTTGAAGTCATGATTTCCATATGAACAAAGAAAAAAATGATGGAATGTATTATAATCCTTTTATCCTATTTCCTTTAGCCACACCTCTAATTTCTTTTATATTCTATGCTCTGGATTGATGCTTAATTGACACTAATTATAATGTTTATTCATCTCTGAAGCATGTTTTCTCCTGCCCTCTTGTCTGAAGTGGGTTGGAGAGGCAGCATAGTTTGAGGTTATGAGTGTGGACTTGGGAGGCAGACTTCTTGGTATTAAATTCTGGTCTTGCCATTTACTAGCTGAATCACTTTGTGCAAGTTATATCACTCTGTGCCTCTGTTTTCTCACTTGTTATAATAGTACTTGATTCATAGGGTTGATATATTAATACGTGTTAGGTTCTTAGAATAGAACCAGGAACAAAAATGACAGCTTTTATTTTATTTTTTCTTAGCCTGGAGACAGAGCTAAGGATGCTTGAATTTCAAAGTCCTTGAGTGTTTAGCTTATACCATCCAAGATACTGTTAAACTAAATCAAATGGAGACAAGGACTCCTAGGACTTCCCCAGAGATCTTACCTTTATAAAATCCTGAAGCTTTGGCACCTCCATCCATATATTTACTCTATCTGAATACCTCCTTGAGCTTATATCTAGTCTTTGATCCTGGCTCAGAGTTCCAGAAAAAAGGTGATCCAGTCTAATATTCAAGTGCTATATATTCTTTCTTCTAAGAAAACTCTCTTCTACATGTATCATCACCCCTTCAAAGTTTTCAATCTATCATCCTTTATTGATTCTGAAACCCAAGATTAACTGACTATTTATATTAGTCAATGGTAGCTTTGGCTCTGAGAACACGTAACCCCCAATTCAGGTCATGTCCTAGTTAATTATGCTGTCTCCAATTTAACTTCGTATTTCATTAATTCCCTTTAATGTGGAAAGTCTTTTCTAGTTAAGTTAGTATTTTCTTTTCTTATAAAATTTACTCTTTGACTTTTTTTTAAATTAAATCTTTATTGTTCAGATTATTACAGTTGTTCCTATTTTTTCCCCCCATAACTCCCCTCTACTCAGTTCCCACCCCACCCTCCGCCCTCACTCCCCACCAACTGTCCATAGGTGCACGATTTTTGTCCAGTTTCTTCCCGCATCCCCCTCATCCCTTTCCCCGCTAAGAGTAGTCAGTCCACTCCCTTTCTATGCCCCTGATTCTATTATAATCACCAGTTCATTCTGTTCATCAGATTATTCACTTGATTTTCAGATTCACTTGATAGATGTGTATTTGTTGTTCATAATTTGTATCTTTACCTTTTTCTTCTTCTTCCTCTTCTTAAAGGATACTTTTCAGCATTTCATATAATACTTGTTTGGTGGTGATTAACTCCTTTACCTTTTTCTTATCTGTGAAGCTCTTTATCTGACCTTCAGTTCTGAATGATAGCTTTGCTGGATAAAGTAATCTTGGTTGTAGGTTCTTGGCATTCATCACTTTGAATATTTCTTGCCACTCCCTTCTGGCCTGCAAAGTTTCTGTTGAGAAATCAGCTGACATTCATATGGGTACTCCCTTGTAGGACACTGACTTTCTTTCTCTTGCTGCTTTTAAGATTCTCTCTTTGTCTTTTGCTCTTGGCATTTTAATTATGATGTGTCTTGGTGTGGTCCTCTTTGGATTCCTTTTGTTTGGGGTTCTCTGCGCTTCCTGGACTTGTAAGTCTATTTCTTTCACCAGGTAGGGGAAGTTTTCTGTCATTATTTCTTCAAATAGGTTTTCAATATCTTGCTCTCTCTCTTCTTCTGGCACCCCTATAATTCTGATGTTTGTACGCTTGAAGCTGTCCCAGAGGCTCCTTACACTATCTTCGTATTTTTGGATTCATTTTTCATTTTGCTTGTCCGGTTGGGTGTTTTTTGCTTCTTCGTATTTCAAATCGTTGACTTGATTCTTGCGATCCTCTAGTCTGCTGTTGGGATTCTGTATAATATTCTTTATTTCAGTCAGTGTATGCTTAATTTCTAGTTGGTCCTTTATCACAACCTCGAGGGTCTCATTAGATTTCTTGAGGGTCTCATTAAGTTTATCAGTGGTTTCTAGAAAATTCTTGAAAAACCTTAAAAGTGTGGTTTTGAACTCTATATCCAGTAGTTTGCTTTCCTCCATTTCTGTCATTTGTGTCCTTTTTCTTTGTCTCCGCATTTTTTATGCTTCCCTGTGTTGATAAAGTGGTTTTCTGTGCTGAGTGTCCACTAGGGCCCAGTGGTTCAGCCTCCCCAATTACCTGAGGACACTCTTGGTGCACCCCCTTGTGGTCTTTGTGCATAGTCTTGTTGTAGTTAAGCCTTGATTGTTGTAGGTATCACTGGGAGGAATTGACCTCCAGGCCAATTGGCTGTGAGAATCAGCTGTGTCTGCAGTGGGAGAACTTCTGTGCTGGAGACACCCCTCCGGGGCAAGACTTGCTTCAATGGGGCTTTGGTGCTCACTCTGTCTGCCCCCTGAGTGTGTCCTTTATGGTTCCACTGAGCTGCAAACTGGATGGTCCCACTCTGACCTCTGGGTACACTGGCTCCTGGATCTCTGGGGAGGTGCTAATCTAGTCTCTGCCTTAGGCTATCCAGTAAAAGCCTCCCTGCAGGGCTTGGGCGGGACGGGTCCCACGGGATCAACAGAGCGGGGCTAGCATTTATGGCTGCTCTCAGAGGCTCCGCTTCTTAGTGTCTCGGCAATTGCTGCAAGCCCCTCCGAGAGAAAGCTGCCCTCGAGTTCCAACCGATGCCAGACAGTCCTGCTTCTCCCACATGAGTCTGGGTCCCCAGAGACTCGCCAGGAACTGGAGCTCAGAGCCTGAGACTCCCTCCCGATTGAAAACGACAACCGCACCCTCAGCCGCCAGCCCGCTCCGTGTGGGCCTCTGTACCTTAATATTTTACTTCTGCACTGCGCCTCCTCTGAGTCTCGGTATGCTTTTCTCTTTCCTTCTAGTTGTAGAATTTATACTCAGTCAGCCTTCCTGTGGTTCTGGATGATGTCCGTTCCGTCTTTTAGATGTATTTTTGAAGTGGTTGTTCGAGGCAGCAAACTCCGGTGTTTACCTATGCCGCCATCTTGGTTTCTCCCACTCTTTGACTTTTTGAAGGGTATTCCCATGACCAAACACATTTTACACTATTTTAGTACATATTTTAATATTTTCTTCTTTTCCCTGCAACACCTACAGGAAGCCTACTCTGTACAACACTAAGCCTACTCTAAGAACAACACTGTAACATTCTTCATTTTCTGAAGTCGCTCAGCCCTTGATTGCTATAAATTTTTATTTCATGAATTTTATTTTATATGGAAATGTAATAAATGTTTATGGAATGACTACAGATACCATGATAAAGATTGACTAGAAAAAAAGGTGTATTCATTAAGCTTCAGAGTTACAAAAACTATTTTCTTCCATGGAGACCCGACTTTGTGGAACAGGAACTCCAGCAAAGCCATTTTCATTGACGTAGTCTTCACTCATTTCCCTGATCTGTGTGTGATAGTGGAAAGAATAAAAAATTAAGATAAACTTGGATTTTCTGATCAATGAAGATTCCTTTTCTTAGATCTGGGTAGTATAGTGTCTAAGGAAACCAATTAGTATAGTGGGCAACAAGATCCATTACTTATAATGATCAAATCAGCAATCCTCTGAACTATCTGAGGTTTAACCAGCAGTGTTCTCTCCAAATAAATGCAATTTTCTATAATAAGTTACACCATGAGCAATATGATGTCTATGAAGAATGTTGAGCCAATATTTTATGGAGGAGATTTGAGGAACAAAACAAAGGGGTTCTGACTGCATTTGGAAGGAGTGTGAATTACTTACCTTTGCTGCAAGGAGCACTGTACTCAGCAATTGCAAACTCATCTGCATAAAAACAAAATCATTAGGTGAAGTGAGAGATAGCAAACATTTATGGGATATAGGTTAGTGAAATAATATTATGGGAAAAATTGTATTTTGTCAGAAACATCAGCAGCATTCATTTGATGCATTGCTGGCTGCCTTATATTGTTAACTTTTCAAATACAGTACATTATATTTCCTTTACTCTGTACTCCTGAAGGACAGTTCAATGTTGAACTTATTTAAATCAAATATTGTTGTACAGTTGATTTAACTGAAGAAAAGGGAACTAAATTTCTTACAGATATTTCGTATTAATTGCTATCTTTACATTATAGGCAGTTTCTATAATCCTATCTAATAATAGAGAAACATGGTAATTAACCGTAACTTCCCTAACCTTCCCATTGGCTAATCTGCGAGTTATGCAAATTAACTGCCAACCAAGATGCGGCCGCAGCCAGGCAGCTGAAGTGAACAGGAGGCTTGCTTGCTCCAGTGAAGGAGGAAGCCAGCGTTCCCCGCCTGCCACTGCCGGCCTCTCAGCTTGTACTCTAAGAAACAATGTTGCAATTATAGAAACTAAACAAGCTCCAGAAACCTGCTTTCAGCCGTCAGAGCTGGAGTTGCAACAGAGTTTCAATTCTAGAACCCAAACAAACCCAGATACCTGCTATCAGCAGCCGAGGTCTCAGAGCTGGAGCTGAGCCTCAGAGCTAAAGCCGGCTCTAGGCTCCAGTGACAGCCATAGAAGGTAAATAAATCCAAGAATAATAAAAAGAAAAAAGGAGAGGTTGGGAGCTTCAGTCACCCGCCAGCCTGAAAACGGCCCTCATCCCCTCATCCAGGCTGGTCAGGCACCCCAGTGGGGACCCCCAGCCTGATCCGGGACACCCTTCAAGGCAAACCAGCCGGCCCCCACCCATGCACTGCTGGGGTCCAACCCCAGCTGGTCCAGGGGTCCCCAAAGGTGTGGACGGAGTTGGCGAAGAAGGAAGGACATGGAGACAGTGTTCAGTTGATCAGCAGCCTAGCCAGGATCTCCAGCCAGGATCTCCAGCCAAGTTCTGGTCTGGATCTCCAGCGAAGTTCTGGTTAGGATCTCCAGCCAGGTTCTGTGTCCATGTTCTCTTGCTAGGTTCTCCAGGTTCTAGTCAGGTTCTCTTGCCAATTTCTGTAGTCAGGTTCAGTCCAGGATCTTTTGCCATGTTCTCTCCAGCGAAGTTCTTCTGTCTCTAGAGAACGTTCTGTGTAAGTTCTGTGCCTCCTGGTTCTGTCTTCTTCTGGTTCCGTATTCTAAGTTCTGTGTCTTGCTGTCTTATTACATCTGTATTTATACCAGTTGATTCAATCCTATCAATCTCTATTACAAAGGTTAGGGCGTTTCTTATCTTCATTCCAGGGAGTAAAGATTATGTAGCTTAAGCACGATTGTTCGTAGTTAAAGTGATTAATTACCCGCCTGGCACTTAGTTAAGAGGTTTTATTCCCTCCCTAACTTCAGGGGAAAATCCCTACCTGGGGAAACAACCTTTCTCAGAGAGGAGACCTTGGTTAAAACACATAGTGCCAAGAAGGTGAGCAAACATATTAAGAACAGTATGCCATATATGCCAGGTCCTTTGAAACAACAAGGATGGACCGGCTCCCGGCAATGCACCAGGCTGCTATCCTATATAGTAAAAGGGTAATATGCAAATTGACCCTAACAGCAGAACAACTTGGAATGACTGGTCACTATGACACACACTGACCACCAGTGGGAAGACACTCAATGCAGGAGCTGGCCCCTGGTGGTCAGGGCACTCTCACAGGTGGGAGCTCTGCTCAACCACAAGCCAGGCTGAGCTCTGCTCAACCACAAGCCAGACTGATGGCTGCCAGTACAGTGATGGTGGTGGGAGCCTCTCCTGCCTCCTCAGCAGCACTAAGGATGTCCGACTGCAGTTTAGGCCTGCTCCCCACTGGTAAGTTGACATCCCCCTAGGGCTGCTGGGCTGCCAGAGGGATGTCTGATTGCCATCTTAGTCCCAATCCCCCGGGGAGTGGGCCTAAGCCAGCAGGTGGTCATCCCCTGAGGGGTCCCAGACTGCGAGAGGGCACAGGCCGGGCTGAGGGACCCCCCCTCACCCCACCGAGTGCACAAATTTTTGTGTACCGGGCCTCTAGTGTATGTATAGAAGGCAAAGACAGGAGAATCAGATTTGATAAAGACAAAACGAAGTGCTAAGAACTATTAATGTAATGAATTTCCCCTACATGTTTCTGAAATCTAAATTTCTGTGATCAGGAATTTAATTTGTATGTAAAAATTGCTCACACTCACCCGTCTCATAGTAATCGTAGACTTTCACTATGGCTGGTTTGAGATCTCTTACTGGGATATCTTGGAGAACAGTGAAGGACAAGCTCAGAATCTGATTTGTCACCTAGAAAGCAAAAGGGAATTAAATGAGCTTTCTTCTCTTTTCTGTGAATGACTTTAAATATTCATTTGTTTGGGGAAAAAACTTTTTAAATTATTATTGTTATTATTTTTATTTCTGCTTAATCATCACCCGAGCATATTTTCCCATTGATTTTTAGAGAGATTGGAAAGGAGGGGGAGAGACAGAGAGAGAGAAACATTTATGTGAGAGAGACACATCGATTGGTTGCCTCCATCATGCACAGTGAACAGGGCCGGGCATCGAGCCTGCAACTGAGGTACGTTCCCTTGACCACAATCAAACCTGGGATCCTTCAGTCCACAGGCCAATGTTCTGTTCACTGAGCCAAACTGGCTAGGGCAAAGCCCCATTAAAAAAAATCAACTAACAGGGTTCTTAAATTGTGCAGAAAGCTCCCCAATTGTTCTTAAACAAATAAAACAATTCGTATATCCCCATCAACGTTTTGTTCATAGAGGTGAATGATATATGATTTTTATTGATTGGATAGCTCTGTTTATTTTTGAATATCCAGAAATTTGGCACCATTTAATTTCTCTATCTTGCAGAAATACTTGTGTTGACTCAAAAAGGAATATAAAAGGTCAATAATTGTAACCTTGTTTAAGTTTCATAAATTTGTAAATTATAATATTCATCAGTCTATAAATAAATAAACTATGTACAACATATAAATATAAAATTAGAGTGGCTTATTGATGGGCTGATCTATTTACTTTATGGTCCAAGTCCTTGCTGAGATTGACAGTATTTTCCCCTTTTATATTGTTGATGTATTATTGATATAATAATTGACAAACCCAATGGTACTTCCTTACATTACTCAGAATAACTTGAGGATATAATAAGCATATTTGGTAGAGAATTTCTTGCTTATAAAGTCCTAGAAATATGACTATCCCAATATTATAATAAGCCATTTCTTTCCGTAGCCCCAGATGAAATATAAATAAAGAAGGAGAAGAGAACATGTACTGCAATTAATGTTAGAATTCTCAAATATTTAGCATAGAAGTGATGTCTCAAAAATGTCTTCATTCATTTCCTAGATATCTCCCTTAGAAGGATTATCTTTACTAGAGGCCTGGTGCATGAATTCATGCACCAGTGGGGTCCCTTGGCCTGGCCTGTGGGATTGGCTGAAACCGGCCCTCCAACATCCCCCGAGGGGTCCTGGATTGCGAGAGGGTGCAGGCCAGGCTGAGGGACCCCACCAGTGCACAATCGGGGCTGGGGAGGGACACGGGAGGTTGGCCAGTCTGGGAGGTACTGCAGGAGAGCTCCAGGGTGTGTCCGGCCCATCTTGCTCAGTCCCAATAGGCCAGAACCCAGCAGCAAGCTAACCTACCAGTTGGAGCATCTGCCCCCTGGTGGTCAGTGCATGTCATAGTGAGTGGTAGAGTGGCCTTAGCATATCAGCATATTATGCTTTGATTGTTTAAACCGAAGACTGGACGACCGGACACTTAGCATATTATGCTTTTATTATATAGGATTTTTTGCAACTAGAGTGGCAGGACTCTCACCTTATCTAGGTAAATCAAAACATGGTTGTTGCTGACTTCTGTTCGGCTCACATCATCAGATCTTTCAAGCTGAAGAACATGAAGACATTGCAAATGTTAATAAACAGAAGAAAGCCCCTGGGAAACCCAGAGAAAAGAAGAATTTTTATTACCAAATTATATTAAGCATGAGGATAATATTTCTTCTAATATTTTTTTGTAAGTAAAGACAATAATGTTGTACAATTAAAAATAAAAGTTAATTGGGATGTAGGGTTTAATATGGCCTATGTGTAAAGTTGATTCATCTGAAGAAAAGGAACTAAATATTCTAAACTTGGGAATTGCATATATTTCAAGGTTTAATTCACATTCTATTTTTTAATCAGGAGGTGATTTTTGTTTTTGTTACTTCTTTTGCTTGCTCTAAATTATAGCAATCTCATTTTGTCTGACCTTCTGTAATAGTTATAGTTTATGTCAATCTGTCATTTTCATATATTTTTCACTGGTTTATATGTAGATACTTTACCTTCAAGATTCTGAGCTACATGAAAGTAGGAACCTGTTGACATTATTTTTCTAGTAGGTGTGGCTTCCAGCAGTGTGTTATGCTCATGGGGGCAGCAATACAAACATGCTACATTATATTTCTAAGTTTGGAGAAAGTAACAGTCTTTAATAGAGGTTGATATAATAGGGTTACAATATATTGTCTCAGTCTAGAAAAATATAAAACAATAAATAAAATAGAGACTCCTACCATTTTCACAGTTGGTTTCAGGGGAATGAAGCCAGATACCATCTTCACATCAACAATCGCCATGTTGGAGGCAGGACGGTTCCCAGTGTAACTGAACCAGGGAAGGAAGGAATTGGGGTTTTCTTTGTTATTAAATAGTCTTTTTTTTTATTTCCACAGTAAGCACTCAACAGCCCTAAAAGGTTCATGGGAGTCTTCCTAAGTGTCCTACCCAAGTGGTTCAGAAAACTGGCTCTGCATTAGATTTTTAGGGAGCCTGTTAAAGCCACAGATCAGGCCTACTTCTAGACCTGATGAGTCAGAATTCCACATGTGTGGACTCTGAGGATGTGTGTTTTCAGAAAGCTCTACAAGTGATGCATAGCTGGACTTGAGACCTCTAACCTGTGTCAGTTATTTGATACATGTACTTTATCTTAACTTTTTTCCTGAATAGTATCTCTAACCAGGTTTGAATATTCTTGGGTACAGACACATTTTCTTTTTGTCCACTGAGGCATTTTATTTGCACATATGTATGATATTCTCAGAAAAATATTCCCAGGATTTTCCCTCCTTTGTGTTTTCATCTTGCTTCTTCATGGTCCATGATGCCCGCTGGGGTTGTCAGTACAATAAAACCAATTGATGGGATGGAAGCAGGTTTTCCTGCCATTTTTCTAGATCTTTGAGTTGCATATAACATCTGGGGCCGATTACTCCACACTTGTTTAACCTGCCTGTGAGGTTCACAGTAATTTTCCCAGCTCTGTAGTCATCAGTAATTTTAAATTTGCCAATGAAACCATGTTGCATCATCACAGTTAGGAACTGGAGCATGGCTTTGGAGCATGGCCTACTAAGAATGTAGCATTTGCCTCTCTTTTAAGCATTGCTGATACTCCTGAGAGCACCAGCCAGGACATTCATGTGACCCTTATGATGGCACAGAAGGACGGCAGGAAGCGCGACAGATACATTTTTTATAAGCCCTGTAGCTCTTTGAGTACTGTTGTGTGTGTATGTACCTCTAGATCTACATATCTATATATCCGTATATCTATATATCTCCATGTATGTATTTTCCCCAAAACTGATTTTTTGGTATATAATCTGAGATTTAATTATTGCCAGTAGAAATTTTAACTAGAGAGGCATGATTTCCTTCTATTCATGCTTTTCAAGAATTCCTCATCTCACTTTTTCTCCCTGGCTATTTGAAGATTGCTGCCATCATGAACTACACAGTAACTACCCAGACCAGGAAGTTCATGACCAACAGACTACTGTGGAAACAAATGGTCATTGACATCCTTTACCCTGTGAAGGCAGCAGTACCTCAGACAGAAATTCGGGAAAAACTAGCCAAACTGTATAAGACCACATCATCTTTGTGTTTGGATTCAGAATCCATTTTGGTGGTGGCAAGACAACTGGCTTTGGCAGGATGTATGCTTCTTGGATTACGCAAAGAAAAATGAACCTAAATATAGACTTGTAAGACATGGCCTGTATGAGAAGAAAAAGACCTCAAAAAAACCCCACAAAAAGCAAAAAACAAAAAAACAGGGAAAGGAATGCAAGAATAGAATAAAGAAAGTCAGGGGGACTGCAAAGGCCAATGTGAGTGCTGGCAAAAGTGAACTGGAGATGGGACAGCAGAAGGAGTAAAGATTCTTCACTGACTTTATTTGTGGTGACTGTGCAGATTTTAATGAAGGGATTAATAAACTCAAAACTTAAAAAATAAAAAAAATAATTCCTCATCTCTTTCCTGGATAAGGCAAGAATAATATAGGATTTCACTACTGTAGAATAAAATTAGGATGAATCATTACATTATAATGAAATGAGAAATCCAGGTCAGGGGCAAGGGATAATGATCTACCTTTACTTATTATTGAGGGAAATTAATAACCTTTAAATAATGAGGTGTGACAATAATGGATTCTGAAAGTAGAGGAAGGACAATGTAAACCTCATCACTGAGAAATTCTGTATCAACATAAGAACATATTACTTTTTTGGTAAATGTAATACAAACATTCACCATCCCAGTGCCCGGCTTAGTGAGGAGTTCCGGTAAGAAGATTGGTTGTTATACACAGAATTAAGTGATTCAGTCAGAAAGTCTTACCTGACATTCAGTGAGACTTGGAAGGTGGTGTGGGCTTTGGGTCCTTCACAAGTTTGGGGCAGAGTCTGTACCCCCAAAGCAAATGGGAACTCTTCTTTTTGGGGGAGAATATTATATTTCAAGGATGTCTGTGGAACATCAAAGACAAATATTTGTGTTTTCCCCTTCCCCATTATTTCTCCCAACTTTCTTAACACTTTTTGATTTGTTCCATCATTTCCTGAATTAGGACTTTTCAGGGCGAATGGTTACTATGAACCCTCTGTTCTCATCTGCTCCAAGAGTCTCACCTGGAGGTAGACACACCCTTTTCCTGTTGCTGTCATGCTGTAATCTCCAGGCACCTTTGGCAATGAAATCTGCTGCAGTAACAAGCGGTTGTCGTTGTCCACTTGGAAATTTGTGGAAAATGTCCCTGAAGATTGAATGGTCACCTGTACAGCCTTCCCAGTCCTGGTGAAAGTAGCTGCTCCATATTTGGACAAAGCATGGAGAGCCACCACTGTGTCCTGAGAGAGACAAGTGAGAGAACCTCTTAGGTATGATAACCCTTTGAGGACTCAGAGGCCCAAGTTAACTGCCACAAAAGGGCCTTTGATTTCCTATTTCCCTCACTACTTAAACACTGGAGTTCTAATTTCATTACTTGTTAGAATCCTTAAATAGATGACAGCACCATAATATTCACATAGCTTCCACGGACTATATGCCCTAAATTTTATTTTATTTCTCATAAAATTGATCCTTTTCTTTCTATAAATATATGTGGAATATAAAATGTAGAAAATATACACATAAATTGGAATCATTTATTGGCATTAGCTATTTGCCTAAATTTTTTTTATTTTGGTGAATAATATTTTTTATTCATCAAATAGTTTTTTTTTGTCAAATATTATAAAGCTTAGTCATAACTATGCATTTTTCTTTTGTATTCTTTTTTTATTGTTTAAAGTATTACATGTTTCCTTTTTCCTCCATAGACCCCCTCCCTGGTCACGCCCACCCACCAGTGCATCCTCCCCTAGCATCTGTGTCCATTGGTTATGCTTATATGCATGCATACAAGTCCTTTGGTTCATCTCTTACCCAACCCCCACACCCTCCCCCCCATCCTTCTGAGGTTTGACTGTCTGTTCGATGCTTCTCTGTCTCTGGATCTATTTTTGTTCATCAGTTCATGTTCACTATATTCCATAAATGCACGAGATCATGTGTTATTGGATTATTCTTAAGTATTAATTACTGTACATATTAAAAGTATAGATTATATATATAAGAGGCCCGTTGCACGAAATTCATGCACTGGAGGCAGAGGTGGTCCCTCAGCCTGGCCTGCGCCCTCTCGCAGTTCAAGACCCCTTGGGGAATGTCTGCCTGCTGGCTTAGGTCCACTCCCCGCGGGGATCGGACCTAAGCCGGCAGGCGGACATCCCTCTCGTAGTCTGGCAGCCCTCACTCCTTACTGCCTGCTTGCTTGCTGCTCCTTACCTCTCAGCTCACTCCTCCTTAGTGCTGCTGTGGAGGCGAGAGAGGCTCCTGCCACCACCGCTGTGCTCACCAACCATGAGCCCAGCCCCTGACTGAGCGGCGCTTCCCCTGTTGGATTGCACTGACCACCAGGGGGCAGCTCCTGCATTGAGCGTCTGCCCCCTGATGGTCAGTGCACATCATAGCGACCGGTCCTTCTGGTCATTCCTCTGTAAAGGTCGCTTAGGCTTTTATTTTATATATATATATATATATATATATATATATATATATATATATATATATATATGTAAAGTATATATATAATATGTAATATACTTTTTTCACTTTTAATGACATATTGAGAAAAACAGTAAAAATAAGTTGAGTTAACACTCTTGAAGCATTTGAAAACTTAACAACTGTGGTTATACCAAAGTTCAGCTGTGCTGTAGCCCCCAAATTAAATTCTCTGCTGCTGAGGTCAGTGTCTCAAAGAGCTCTCGAAAGAGTCCTTTGTAACCATGATCAAGGTGATGTTTCAGTTTCTTCAAAGGAAATAATTATAATTATCCCCTTGATTTATTGGCATTTTTATTTGGCTTTTCTTTTTTTTTACTGGAAGTTTGAATTCTCCTTTTAATATTCATATTTTTAATTCTCATCAACATTGAACCTGGATGACATCCTGAAATTATATATATAAAAGCCAAAGCTACCATTATGACTGGTCGACTGAATGACCGGTCATATGACGATGCACTGACCACCAGGGGGCAGATGCTTAATGCAGGAGTTGCCCCCCTGTTGGTTAGTGTACTCCTACAGCCAACCTCTCTCGGTCACTCCCACCAGCTGGCCAGTCCCGAGCAGCCCCAGTTGCTGGCCAGGCCTAGGGACCCCAGCCATGCACAAATTCGTGCATCGGGTCTCTAGTATATTTATAAGAAATAAATGCTGACCATTCTAACAACATTTTTTAGTTTTTTTCCATTCATATGAAACAATACAACATTAAGTATAATGAAGAAAGCATAGAATGGCATTTTGTAATGGGTGTGTAGGCTAACAGCTAAATTCTCTGAAGATAAAACTTTTTGCTGTGTAATTATTGATAAATTTTTTAGATATAAAGTTATATTGTTAGGATCAGGAGGTTGGATGAATAAAGATAGTTCTTTATGCTTCTGATGAATAAATGGGTAGAGGAAGCATAAAATGTGTCAGCTTTAAAAGAAACCAGTTAGGGAGCATTCTCTCAATCCCTTGAGATTTTGCTTCTCGGCAATTGTCATCAGTTTGGCTCAAGTAAATTCATAAAAAGTTCTTACAGGTTTGGACGTTCCTTATGTTGACATTTACATGGCTTAATGCAGCAGGATTACAAAGAAGCCCACCAGAACCACCTTGCGGACACAGACCCATGCCAGTAGGGGCCCATGGTGTCCCACTGGCTCCTTGTTGTGCAACAGCTGAACTTGGATGGGGAAATTGGCCTCTGACAAACAACAGGAACATAGCTAAGACAGAAAGAAAGAAAGAGGCTTGTGTAGCCTGCCCCCATCCAAGGAACAGCAGCATCCTGATCACCACTCCCTCTGTCTGAGGAACAGAAGCTGTGTGTGAAGCCTCCCGATGCCGGAGTCCAACCCCAGCAGGTCCATGGGTCCCCAAAGGTGTGGATGGAGTCGGCAAAGAAGGAAGGACACGGAGACAGCATTCAGGTGATCAGCAGCCTAGCCAGGATCTCTAGCCAGGATCTCCAGCCAAGTTCTGGTCTGGATCTCCAGCGAAGTTCTGCTCTGGATCTCCAGCGAAGTTCTGGTTAGGATCTCCAGCCAGGTTCTGTAGCCATGTTCCCTCGCTAGGTTCTCCAGCCAGGTTCTGTCCAGGTTCTCCAGCCAGGTTCAGTCATCAGGTTCTAGTCAGGTTCTCTTGCCAATTTCTGTAGTCATGTTCAGTCCAGGATCTTTTGCCATGTTCTCTCCAGCGAAGTTCTTCTGTCTCTAGGTGCTGTGTAGGTTCTGTCTTGTAAGTTCTGTCTCTTGCTGTCTCGTTACATCTGTATTTATACCAGTTGATTCAATCCTATCAATCTCTATTATAAAGGTTAGGGCGTTTCTTATCTCCATTCCAGGGAGTAAAGATTATGTAGCTTAAGCATGATTGTTTGTAGTTAAAGTGATTAATTACCCGCCTGGCACTTAGTTGAGGGGTTTTATTCCCTCCCTAACTTCAGGGGAAAATCCCTACCTGGGGAAACAACCTTTCTCAGAGAGGAGAACTTGGTTAAAACACATAGTGCCAAGAAGGTGAGCAAACATATTAAGAACAGTATGCCATATATGCCAGGTCCTTTGAAACAGCAAGGATGGACCGGCTCCCGGCATCCCCCCACCAGCCAGAGGAGCCACCACAACTGTGAACAGCAACGACCAGAGGAGCTGCTATCAACTGAGGAGCAGCTGCTACCACAACTGCCTGAGCAGCAACCGCAGCCCGAGGAGCCACTGCCACCCAAGGAGCAGCCACTGAACGACTCAACATCTAGATATGGAGATACGATCAAACATGGGTAGACAAAGAAATCCCCAAAGGAAAGAAAAGGAGGACTTGCCAGAAAAGCAGCTAAGTGATACAGAGGCATGCAACATGACAGAAAAAGAATTCAGATTAAGGGTCCTAGAGTGCATAAACTGGATGGAGGAAAAAATCAACAACTTATGCAAGAAGCAAGAAGAGACAATAAATTATCAATAAATTATGAAAGAACCAACAAGAAATAGAGATGAAAAAATGAAAAAAATCAAAAAATTATGTAAGAACCAAGAAGAAATGAAGAGTGATATAGCTGCAATAAAAAACACCATTGAAAGTTTCAACAGTAGACTAGGAGAAGTGGAGGACCGAATTAGCGAATTAGAAGACAGGGAAACAAAACACACCCAAACTGAACAGCAATTGGAGAAAAAAATTAAAAGACAGGAGGAGAGCCTAAGGGAGCTTGGGACAACATGAAACAAAACCACATATGAATAATAGGGGTGCCAGAATAACAGAAAGAGGAACAAGGATTAGAAAACCTATTTGAAGAAATAATATCAGAAAACTTCCCAGAGGTGGGGAAGAAAAAAATCACACAAGCACAGAGAGTCCCAAACAAGGTGAATCCGAAAAGACCCACACCAAGACACATCATAATTACCATGGCAAACGTTCAGGACAAAGAGAGAATCTTAAAGGCTGCAAGAGAGAGATGGAAAGTTACATTCAAGGGATCTCCCATTAGATTATCCAATGATTTCTCAACAGAAACATATCAGGCCAGAAAAGAATGGACGGAAATTTACAAAGTGATGCAAAGCAAAGGACTGAATCCAAGAATACTCTATCCAGCAAGGCTATCATTCAAAATTGAAGGGAAAATAAGAAGCTTCACAGACAAAAAAAGGCTAAGGGAGTTTATCACCACCAAGCCAGCAATACAAGAAATGCTAAAGGGACTGGTGTATAAAGAAGAAATAAAAAGCTCAGAATGAAAACAGCCACACAAAAAAAGAAATGGCTACAAACAAGTACCTTTCAATAATAACTTTAAATGTAAACGGACTAAATTCTCCAACCAAAAGACATGGAGTGGCTGAATGGATAAAAAACATGACCCATACACTTGCTGTCTACAGGAGACCCACCTCAGAAGAAGGGACTCACACAGACTGAAAGTGAAGGGATGGAAAAATATCTTTCAGGCAAATGGAAATGAAAAAAAAAACTTGGGTAGCGCTGAAACCGGTTTGGCTCAGTGGATAGAGCGTCCGCCTAGGGACTGAAGGGTCCCAGGTTCGATTCCGGTTAAGGGCATGTACCTGGGTTGCAGGCACATCCCCAGTAAGAGATGTGCAGGAGGCAGCTGATCGATGTTTCTCTCTCATCGATGTTTCTGACTCTCTGTCCCTCTCCCTTCCTCTCTGTAAAAAATCAATAAAATATATTTAAAAAACACACACAACAAACTGGGATAGCAATACTTATATCGGAAAAAATAGACCTCAAAGTGAACGCCATAACAAGAGATAAGGAAGGCCACTTCAAAATACTAAAGGGATCAATACAACAAGAAGATATAACCCTGGTAAACATATATGCACCCAATGCAGGAGCACCCAAATACATAAAAATACTCCTGGAAGATATCAAAGGAGAGATCGACAACAATACAATCATAGTAGGGGACTTTAATACACCACTGACATCACTGGATAAATCCTCTAGACAAACAATCAGCAAAGAAACAGCAATCCTAAATGACTCACTAGATCAGATGGACTTAATTGACATCTTCAGAACACTTCACCCCAAAGCCACGGAATATACATTCTTCTCAAGGGCTCATGGGACATATTCAAATATGACCACATATTGGGTCACAAACAAAGTCTCCCCAAATTCAAGAAGATTGAATTCATACCAAGCATCTTCTCAGACCACGATGGTATAATATTAGAAATAAACTACAATAAAAACAACCCAAAATACTCAAACACTTGGAAGCTGAATAGCATGTTATTAAATATTGATTGGGTTACCAATGAGATCAAAAGAGAAATTAAAAACCTCCTGGAAACTAATGACAATGAAAACACAACAATCCAAAACCTATGGGACACAATGAAAGCAATCCTGAGAGGGAAGTTTATAGCTCTACAGGCCTATCTCAAAAAACAAGAAAAAAGGATAGTAAATCATCTAACTCTACAACTCAAAGAATTAGAAAGAGAGCAACCAAAAAAGCCCAGAGTGAGCAGAAGGAAGGAGATAATAAAGATTAGAGCAGAAATAAATGACATAGAGACCAAAAAAACAATACATAAAATCAATGAAACCAAGAGCTGGTTTTTTTAAAGGATAAACAAGATTGATGAACCTCTAGCCAGGCTCACCAAGAAGCAAAGAGAGAGGACCCAAATAAACAAAATCAGAAACGACAGAGGCGAAATAACAACAGACCCCACAGAAATACAAATGATTGTTAAAAAATACTATGGACAACTCTACTCCAACAAACTAGACAACCTGGAGGAAATGGATATATTCCTAGAAAAATACAACATAACAAAACTCAATCAGGAAGAATCTAAAAATCTCAATAGGCCACTAACTATGGAAGAAATTGAAGCAGTCATCAAAAAGCTTCCAGCAAACAAAAGCCAAGGACCAGATGGCTTCACAGGGGAATTTTACCAAACATTCAAGGAAGAGCTAAAACCTATCCTCCTCAGACTACTACAAAAAATCCAAGAGGAAGGAACACTTCCCAGTTCGTTCTATGAAGCCAGCATCACCCTAATACCAAAACCAGGTAAAGACAACACAATGAAAGAGAATTACAGGCCAATATCCCTCATGAACATAGATGCCAAAATCCTCAACAAAATCTTGGCAAATCGGATCCAGCAGTACATCAGAAAGATCATACACCATGACCAAGTAGGATTTATCCCAAGTATACAAGGATGGTACAATATCCGAAAATCAATAAATGTGATACATCACATAAAGAAATTGAGAGAAAAAAAACCACATAGTCATATCAATTGATGCAGAAAAAGCATTTGAAAAAATCCAAAACCCATTTTAGATAAAAACTCTCAGCAAGGTGGGAATAGAAGGATCATACCTCAACATAATGAAAGCCATATATGACAAACCCACAGCCAACATCATACTCAATGGGCAAAAAGTAACACCATTTTCCCTAAGAACAGGAACAAGACAGGGATGCCCACTCTCACCACTTCTGTTCGATATTGTACTGGAAGTATTAGTCATTGCAGTTAGACAAGAAAAAGAAATAAAAGGCATCCAAATTGGAAAAGAAGAAGTAAAACTGTCCTTATTTGCAGATGACATGATATTGTACTTAAAAAACCCTAAAGACTCCATCAAAATCTATTAGACTTAATAAATGAATTTGGCAATGTAGCAGAATACAAAATTAACGCCAAGAAATCTATGGCATTTCTATACACCAATAGTGAACTTACAGAAAGAGAGATTAAAACAATCCCATTTACCATTGCACCAAAAAATTAAGCTCCCTAGGAATCAACTTAACTAAAGAGGTAAAAGACCTATACTCAGAAAACTTCTGGACGTTAAAAAAAGAGATAGAGGAAGACATAAACAGATGGAAGAACATACGATGTTCTTGGATTGGTAGAATCAACATTATTAAAATGTCCATACTACCCAAAGCAATCTATAAATTCAATGCACATCCCATTAAAATATCAACGGCATATTTCTCAGGCCTAGAACGAACTCTCCAAAAATTCATCTGGAATAAAAAAAGACCCTGAATAGCTGCAGCAATCCTGAGAAAGAACAAAGTAGGTGGGATCTCAATACCAGATATCAAGCTGTATTACAAAGCCACTGTTCTCAAAACTGCCTGGTACTGGCACAAGAACATACATATAGATCAATGAAATAGAATAGAGAGCCCAGAAATTGGCCCAAACCAATATGCTCAATTAATATTTGACAAAGGAGGCAAGTACATACAATGGAGTCAAGATAGTCTTGGGAAAATTGGAGGGATACATGCAAGAAAATGAAACTAGATCACCAACTTACACCATACACAAAAATAAACTCAAAATGGATAAAGGACTTAAATGTACGATGGGAAACCATAAAAATACTAGAAGAATACAAAGGCAACAAAATCTCAGACATATGCCGAAGCAATTTCTTCACCGATACAGCTCCTAAGGCATTGGAAACTAAAGAGAAAATGAAGAAATGGGACTACATCAAAATAAAAAGCTTCTGCACAGCAAAAGAAACCATCAACAAAACAACAAGAAAGCCCACTGTGTGGGAAAACATATTTGCCAATGTCATATCTGATAAGGGACTAATCTCCAAAATTTATAGGGAACTCATACAACTTAACAAAAGGAAGATAATCCAATCAAAAATGGGCAAAGTATCTAAATAGACACCTTTCAAAAGAGGACAATTCAGAAAGCCAAGAGACATATGAAAACATGCTCAATGTCACTAATCATCCGAGAGATGCAAATCAAAACAACAATGAGGTACCATCTCACACCTGTCAGACTGGCTATCATCAACAAATCAACAAAGGACAAGTGCTGGAGAGGATGTGGAGAAAAAGGAACACTTGTGCACTGCTGGTGGAAATGCAGACTGATGCAGCCACTATGTAAGACAGTATGGAGTGTCCTCAAAAAACTAAAAATGGAACTCCCATTTGACCCTGTGATCCCACTTCTAGGAATATATCCCAAGAAACCAGAAACACCAATCAGAAAGGATATATGCGCCAAAACCGGTGTGGCTCAGTGGATAGAGCATCGGCTTGCGGACTGAAAGGTCCCAGGTTCGATTCCGGTCAAGGGCATGTACCTGAGTTGCGGGCGCATCCCTAGTAGATGTGCAGGAGGCAGCTGATCGATGTTTCTCTCTCATCTATGTTTCTAACTATCTCTCTCCCTTCCTCTCTGTAAAAAATCAATAAAAAAAAAAAGAATAGAAAGGATATATGCACCCATATGTTCATAGCAGCACAATTCACCATAGCTAAGATCTGGAAACAGCCTAAGTGCCCATTAGTAGATGAATGGATTAGAAAACTGTGGTACATCTACACGATGGAATAGTATGCTGCTGTAAAAAAGAAGGAACTCTTACCATTTGCAACAGCATGGATGGAAATGGAGAGCATTATGCTAAATGAAATAAGCCAGTCAATGAAGGAAAAACACCACATGATCTCACTCATTCATGGATAATAGAGACCATTATAAACTTATGAACAATAATAGTTATAGAGGCAGAGCTGCCTCAAACAGATTGTCAAACTGCAGCGGGAAGGCCGGGGAGGGTTGGGGGGCAGGAGGGAGGGTGGTAAGAGATCAACTGAAGGACTTGTATGCATGCATATAAGTATAACCAATGGACATAAGACACTGGGGGTAGTGGTGGCCAAGGGATTGTTAAGGGCAGGAAGAAAAGGAGACATATGTAATACTCTTTGTAATACTTTAAGCAATAAAACAATTAAAAAAATAAGAAAAAATAAAAGAAACCAGTTAAAGGAGACCTAAGAACGAAGAGCTGTTCAAGGAGAGATTATTGGGTTTTGGGTAGTATTTCTGGGAACTTTGAAAGGAACTCTTAGAACTTCCAAAAGGTTGGTAGATTTTTAAATTCATCCTGCTATGGTATTGACAGTGGCGTCCCATTATTGCCTTAGGGGAGGTAGAGTAGTTACTGGAAAAAAGAGACTGTGATAATAATACAGGGATGGGTGCCAGAATTCTATACATTTTCTGTTTAGCTCTCTTTGACTTTCATTTCCCTTTATTTCTTAGAATTCTAATAATATTTTCCGCATTTCAAAGTCTCATCTTTATGTTGTATTCTTGGATATGTTTATATCTTGTTCAAAACTTTTTGTACCTGAAGGTGAAGTAAAAGGTTTTGGGAAACTACAAACCTGGGTGGAAGAGAAGCCCCCTTGAGAATTCTGTTGCTTTGTGATCCACTTCACAATGTGTGATGCGGAAGTCAGCTCCTCTGAGGTTGGGGCAGGCTGGGCCATGAGGTGAGCCAGGAGCACATAGGATGTCATCTCCACCTCAGCAGAGGGAGCCTGGGGTTGGTAAAAATGTTCCAGTGGTGCCTTGGGTTTCTGAGGTCGTGTCCAGTGAACAGAATTATCTGGGGATGAGAAAAATCAATGTATGAGTGACTATATATCCACATTTAATTTAAGGTTAAAGTACCTAAGCCAGAGCTGAAATGAGGATTGCATTCCTATAATAATCTCTTGACCTTTATCTGGTTGATTTTCCTTCTATGTAAATCTGAACATGGTTTGTGTTAGCTGGGTTTAAGGAGGAAAATGTTGCTGGAATGAGAAGCCCACATTCATCTAAGTTTTCAAAAGGTTGCTATAGTTGGGTTGGTGGGAGAGCAAAATTGCAGAGCATGTTCTCTCACTGGTGATCATATTTTTTTATTTCTGATATTTTGCAGACCTTATCTGGGGTTTGTTAGATTTTCTATCAAGCCTGCCCTTAGAGGTTTCTTGTGAGGATCATGAATCACTTGAGATAATAGAATTCATACTCATTCTATCGGAAAAAAATACAGTAATCCTTAAAATACCAAAGATAGACAAGGATGTGAAATAATGGGAACTGATTTGCACTGCTGTGGGAAGTGAACTGCTCTTTGGAGAGCAATATGGCAATATCCAGCAAAGAGAAAGATGTGCTTAGCCTACTATTCAGCAATTACACTTCTCAAAGAATAACTTAGAGAAATTCACACACATGAACAAGGAGACATGTATATATTCATTGCAGTGTGGCTCGTTATAGCAACAAGTAAGAAAGAAGAAAAGATCCATGAGGATAGGCACTCCATATAGACCATGACCTTTTATGTATTGTAATATATTGTTCAGCAGTGAATATTAATGAGCTAGAGCCCAGCTGGCGTGGCTCAGTGGTTGAGCTTTGGCCTATGAACCAGGAGGTCACGGTTTGATTCTCGGTCAGGTTATATGCCCAGGCTGCGGGCTCGATCCCCAGTACTATGTGTCATATACTCTACCAGGAGGCAGCCGATCAATGATTGTCTCTCATCATTGATGTTTCTATATCTCTCTCCCTCTCCCTTTCTCTCTGAAATCAATAAAAAAATAAAATTAATGAACTAGGATTACAGGCACCCATATAGAGGACTTCTACTAACATAATGTTGAACTTAAGAAAAACAAAAGGTAAACAAATAAACAGCTAAGAAAATAAGATGCAGAAATAATCAAAAGTATGATACTGCTTATCTAAAGATGAAAAATGTAAAAATTTTGAATATTATTTAGGGATACATTTGCAATAAAAATATTAAAAAATCCACAGAAATTGTAATGAGAAGTTCAGGATAATGATGCCCTTTGGAGTGGGAATGGTATACAGGGAATTTTTCCTACAATGGTAATATTTTATTTCTTAATCTTGAAAGGAAGTATAAAGGTTTTTGCTAATTATTCTCTATGACTTCTTGTATGTCTGAAATATTTCCCAATAGAATTTTAAGAATTAACAATTAATGGCACTGTCCAGGGGGAAAGTTAGAATATGTTTTCTTGAATATCTTATTATCATTTGCATTTTATTTTCTATTTCTTTGACCTCCCCCATATAGACCATTGTTTACAAAGAAGTATTATGTGAGCATAAAAAGATTTGTCAACATTATCAGTCTTGTAAAATGAGCATAGAATACCAGAAGTTGTTCACGTTGCTACTTCCTTCAGTCCTTTCTTATATTTGAGATGATATGATGCACCAGGTAAAGGTTGGATATATATATTAATAAGTGTTATCTTAATCATAGTAGCTCATACTTTTATAGCACTTACTATGTGTCATATACTCTACCAAGTGCTTTACATGGATTAAATCATTTAACTCTGACAAACCACCCTATGAGGTAAATACTATTGTTATCACCATTTTACTGATGAGGGAACTGAAATACAGACAAGTTAAGTGACTCTCTCCAGGTTACATAAGTAATACATTTTGGAGTGGTTTCCAGGGGCCAAGCTTCTCACTATTACAGTATACTGCCTCTTTTTTGATGTGTGATTTGATTAAGAAATCCTAGATTTTATAATAATATAGATTAAAAAAGAAGGAAGAAAGGGGTCACAGGAGGTAGGTGGAGGGGATTTTTGCAATTTAGTAGTATTTGATACAGAGAATGTGGGATGGGAGAAAGATTTCAGGTACGCACTCACCTTCCTTCACTGCTTCCTCATTAAGTGACGTGAGTACTTCATTCTTCTTTTCCTGGTTACCTGCCAGAGCAAAAGCATAGGCCAACAGTGCCTTGGTGTAGACATGGCTTCCATGGCGTCCTTCCTTTGCTGACTTCCAGGCTGACTCCAGGCAGAACATGGCATTACGGACAACAGGGTGCTGTGAAGGGGCGACAAGAAGGGAACTGAGCTGTGTGAACAGGGAGGCTAGCGTTCCCAGGTAAATGCAGACTGTAGAACAGAAGTGAAAAACAATTTCAGATGCATTTGTCTATCTATCCTCATTCTTATGAAAGGCAGCTATGCTCACCACTATACCACCAACGCCTTCTATCCTCATTCTTATGGATAGAGAGAATTATAGTCTTTTTAAAATATATTTTTTATTGATTAAGATATTACATATGTGTCCTTATCCCCACGTTACCCCCTACCCCCCCCCCCCCCGCTCATGCCCTCACCGCCCCCCCCCCCCCCCCGCCGTTGTCCGTGTCCATTGGTTAGGCCTATATGCTTGCATATAAGTCCTTTGGTTGATCTTTCCCCCGTACCCCCACCCTCCCCTACCTTTCCTCCAAGGCCCGACAGTCTAATCAATGCCTCTCCATCTCTGGATCAGTCCTTGTTCATCAGTTTATGTTGTTCATTATATTCCACAAATGAGTGAGATCATGTGGTATTTATCCGCTCTCCAGTTCCATCCATGCTGTGACAAATGGTAAGAGTTCCTTTTTCTTCTTCCTCTTCTTAAAGAATACCTTTCAGCATTTCATATAATGCTGGTTTGGTGGTAATGAACTCCTTTAGCTTTTTCTTATCTGTGAAGCTCTTTATCTGACCTTCTATTCTGAATGATAGCTTTGCTGGATAAAGTAATCTTGGTTGTAGGTTCTTGCTATTCATCACTTTGAATATTTCTTGCCACTCTCTTCTGGCCTGCATGGTTTCTGTTGAGAAATCAGCTGACAGTCGTATGGGTACTCCCTTGTAGGTAACTTTCTTTCTCTTGCTACTTTTAAGATTCTCTCTTTGTCTTTTGCTCTTGGCATTTTAATTATGATGTGTCTTGGTGTGGTCCTCTTTGGGTTCCTTTTGTTTGGGGTTCTCTGCGCTTCCTGGACTTGTAAGTCTATTTCTTTCACCAGGTAGGGGAAGTTTTCTGTCATTATTTCTTCAAATAGGCTTTCAGTATCTTGCCCTCTCTCTTCTTCTGGTATCCCTATAATTCTGATGTTGGTACGCTTGAAGTTGTCCCAGAGGCTCCTTACACTATCTTAATATTTTTGGAATCTTTTTTCTTTTTTCTTTTTCGGTTGGGTATTTTTTGTTTCCTTGTATTTCAAATCTTTGACTTGATTCTTGGGATCCTCTTGTCTGCTGTTGGATCTCTGTATATTATTCTTCATTTCAGTCAGTGCATGCTTAATTTCTAGTTGGTCCTTTTTCATATCCTCGAGGGTCTCACTAGATTTCTTGAGGGTCTCACTAAATTTATTGGCGGTTTCCATAAAATTCTTGAAAAACCTTATAAACGTGGTTTTGAACTCTATATCCAGTCATTTGCTTTCCTCCATTTCTGTCATTTGTGACCTGTTTCTTTGTCTCTGCATTTTTTATGCTTCCCTGTGTTGGTAGAGTGGTTTTGTGTGCTAGGTGTCCTGTAGGGCCCAATGGCTCAGCCTCCCCCGTTACCTGAGGTGGACACTCTTGGTGCACCCCCTTGTGGGCTTTGTGCACAGTCTTGTTGTAGTTATGCCTTGATTGTTGTAGGATCACTGGGAGGAATTGACCTCCAGGCCAATTGGCAGTGAGAATCGGCTGTGTCTGCAGTGGGAGAACTTCTGTGCTGAAGACACCCTTCTGGGGCAAGATTTGCTTCAGTGGGGCTTTGGTTCTCACTGAGTCTGCCCCTTGGGTGTGTCCCTTATGGATCTGAGGAGTTGTAATCCGGATGGTCCCCCTCTGACCACTGGGTACACTGGCTCTTGGAGGTTACCCAGCAGGAGCTATGAAGAGAACTGCAGATTCCCCTTCCTTTTTTGGAGTTTGGAGGTGCCCTGATGAGGCCCAGCTGTGAAGCAATGCAAGCTGCTGTGGGGTCTTGGGCCTTCTCTTGGAAGTTCTGGGTCTATGGCCCAGCTGCAGTTTGTTAGGTAATTTTCAGGTTGCAAAGGGCCAGGGCATTCATATGCAAAAGCCTCTGCCGCAGCCTGGGTGGGGCGGGGTCTCAGGGAATCAAAGGGCGGAGCAAGGAACTATGGCGGATTCTCAGCCCTGCCCTAAGAGGCCGCGCGCGTCTCAGTGTCCTGATAATTTAATTGCTGCAAGCACCTCTGAGGGAAAGCCGCCCTGGAGTTCCGAGTTCTGCCCGCTGCCAGACAGTCCAGTTTCTCCCCGTATGAGTCCTGGGTCCCCAGAGACTTCCCGGAACTGGAGTTCAGAGCAGTCGGGAGCTTGTGACTCCCTCCCGAATCAAAAAGACAGCCGCGTCCTCAGGTACCAGCCCCTTTCCGCGCACTCTCGAGCCTCCGTACCTTTGCACTTTACTGCCGCAGCTCCTGGCCCTCAATGTGCTTTTCTCTTTCCTTCTAGTTTTAGAATTTCCACTCCACCAGCCTTCCTGTAAGTTCTGGATGATGTCCGTTTTGTCTTTTTATTGTGTTTTGAAGTTGTTGTAGGAGGCGGCAATTTCGGTGGTTCCCTATGCCGCCATCTTAGTTTCTCCGAGAACAGTATTTTTTATCTGTTATTCTCACATTTATAAGGCAGAAACATAGGCCATATCTTTTTTCTTTCGAATTCATTGTGTGTGTGTGTGTGTGTGTGTGTGTGTGTGTGTGTGTGTGTTGGGGAGGGGGATGGTTAGGGAATAAAGAGCCCAGGAGCATCACTGGGAAAGTGTAAATCTTTTTAATGGAGTGACCTACTTCTCTATTGAGCTGGGAAGCATTGAATTGCATAGAAGGAAAGCTGACACTTGGCTTTTAGTAGGGTAATAGTTCACACAGCAAGTTAGTAGTTTCATGGCATCCAGACTCAAGCTTCAGCAGGGGAAGGAGGTGGTACCTACAGTGATGGGAAGAGGAATCTCCAGAAGGGCAATGGTGATATACGCAGAGAGGGTCTCTTCATCTTCTACTCCACCCTGTAAATATGCACAAGAGAGATCTGAGTAATTTAACTTCTGACAAGACTCTTAGTCAGCTCTCTGTTTTTTACTCTCATGGAATTTATCCTTTCCCATATTCATCCCAATGGGGCAACATGTCATAACCTAAATGCTATCCCCTCTTTCTTGCTACTATCCAGGTTTTATGTTCTTCTGATGCCTTCCCTAAGGAATCCCTAGGTTACTACCCACTCTTCTCATCCTTGATTTGCCTCATCATGGGCAAGTCAAAGGTGTGAGGACACTTCACCTTAATGGCATTGTTGAGCAGTGATCCAGAACTTCTGAAACAGCCATTGTCCTTCTGTTTTTGGGAGAGCCAGGTGAGGGCTTGATTAATGTGTGCTTCATCGATGAAGATGTACCGTCGAGCCTGAGCAAAAGTCTTCAGTACAAAGGCGGTGAGCCTGAGGGGGGAGGAAGGGATGATGATATTTATGTTACATAAATGGTTTTACAACCACTTTGCAGCAGTAGGCTTCATAGGACACTTTTTACATTGATATTTGTGAGGAGTCCGAGCTCAGGCCCTTTTCCTAGAACTCAGTCCCTGTTCAGGCACCACTTGTTACGGCCAAAGGTGATCCTGAGTTGGGGGAGTGGGGGTGAAAGGATTGAGAAGAGACAGACAAGAGAATGAAAGCTGGGTCTCGATGGGACGCTGCTCCCTGATGAGGAGACAGCATCAGCGCCCACAAGCCGTGTCTTTATTTTATAGCAGATGCCACGAGGCAAAGTAGGGGTGTGACCAAGTTGTTTTCAGCATTCTCGAGAGTTTCAACCTCACTTAACTACTTGCACCCGAAATCTATCACAAGGACGTGGGGCTACGTGTTTGGACCATAGGTTCAAGCTTACAACCATAGCTGTTGGCTATAATTGTTCTGGGAGGGCCCTGCCCTCCAGCTGGGACTTGCATGTGGCAATGAGAGGACCCTGTCCTTTCATTAGTCCGAGACTTGAACTTGGCCAAAGCACTGTAGCCGTGCCCCATAGATATTAGTCATCTAACAGGAATTCTTGTGTTTGTAGAGCTCCCATCTCCTTTGAACTGCTAGCTCTAATGAATTTGCTAGGCCGTGTATTTCCTTGCTGACCCACATCCTCTTTGCTACAGAGAGTCTAAGTACTTCTAATGTTACTTTAAAAGAACATATTTGAGTAAGGCTTTAAATCTTTCTTTTCTTTAGAGATTTCCTTTGGTAGATGGCAGAATCTTCTCATATACAACTCTTACATGCAATAAAAACCTCTAAGAATGCTTTGCGTAGAGATTGAAAAAGTGTTTCATATCATAGGTCCTTTTCATTTCTTTCCTTCTATTGGTGAATTTATTCTCAGTCAATTTGAGTATGATCTAAAGAAACATAATATAATCTGAAGTGAACGTGAAATTATATGATATGTTCATTGGCCATATCATAAAAATGCTCTTGGTTATGGGAATAGTTTTTAGAAAAAAAATTATTTTAGAAAGAAGACCTTGATGTATTATTAACAGGATGAATTTGGGTGTCAAGTGTAGCATACATGTATTTGAATCTCAGCTTTTCTGTTTGTTACCTTGCTAATATTGGTGTATTTATCTAATAGAATCAAGTATAAGCTTAATAATATATATTTGATAAGGTTACTGTGAATATAATCATGATAATATATGTAAATGAGCTGGCACAAAAATAGCTCAAAAAACTCTTTTTCTTACCAGGTATTGCCTGTGCTCCTGCCATATGTCTCCCCAAACGTACTATAGGAGCCATCAGAGTGCTTGTAGTTCAGCTGTCTCTGGTAACCTGGAGTGGAAGGTTTATGAAACAGTATGAAAGATTGTACATGCTGTAGCCAGAGAATTATCAAAATGCTTTGGCCTTGTGATATTTTTAAAAATTTTCTGTCATATGTTAGAAGGTTCTCAGTCCAAAACATTTTATTGGAGTTTGGACCATGGATAGTTACCATGAAATTAACTTTCATAGTATTCTTTTTTTTTTTTCATAGTATTCTTATCATAACAACTATCATAGTATGATAAGCGAATGTATCATAGTATTGATAAGTAACTCAAGCCTATTGGGAAACCCAATCTATTGTTGAAGTAATACTGTGAAGTTTTCACTCATTCATTCAGTCACTCACCAGTATTGAGGAAGCCAATGGCCTTGGACTTGACCTCTGGAGTCAGTTGCTGTGTTTCATTTAGATAATTCAGAACATAGATATTAGGAGTGAAGAGGACCATATTCTGTTCTCCACAGCCATAGGGCATTTTTAGGAGATTTTGTGTGTTTCTCATGGCAGAGGCTAATATGTCTCCTAAGGAATGGGAGAGATGGGAAGTCATAAAGCTTATCAATTATAACTTATCAGAATCATAAATAAATAAATTGTTAGCTGGGGTAAAGAAATGAAGATTTTTAGGAAAGGTAAATTTTCCAGGGATAGAAGTATGATTGGAATCAATAAACAAGCCTGAAAAAGGAAAGAAGGAAGAAGTTTAAATTACAATTGTTATTTTGGGAAAGTATTTATGGAAAAAAATGTAGTAGAAACTGTCAATATCTATAATAATAAAAGTTTAATATGCTATTTAGACAAGATATCGTTCCTGACTACCTTCCAGATGAAGCTGGGGCTGTGAGGGAAGCCTGGGTCCTGGGTGGCAGAAGCCCCTGCCAGCAGCTGGGGGAAGGAAGGTCTAATCTTGCACGAATTTTGTGCATCAGGCCTCTAGTACTAGATTAATCTACTTGGGCTGAGGACTTACCCAAAACTGAGAAGGAGGCTCGGGCAGAGTCTTCTACCACATTTGGTGGCAGCTTCAGAGATACTTGATCAGGCACCTCAGCACCTAGAGAAAAAACAAGTCAGCCATAATGAAAACTGTTTCTGCTATATATCCTCCTGAAGAGCTCTAAGACCAAGAAGTCAGAACCATGCTTTACCTAAACTTCTGAAAAGCTGTCTCTCTTTGAATATTCCAGTTTTTTATAAGTGGCCCTCCCCCAACCACTTTTTCTATTTATGTATAGAGTTGCATTCTAAAAGAAGCGTACACATTTACTAGTGCCCCTGATATCATCCTATGGCTGATACAAGATGGTTATCACAAAATAATATATTTAATGTCTGTCCCCAACCTCCTTACTCAACAGTTATGACAGAAAAAACACACAAAACCCCCTGATGTATACATAAACAAAATAAAAATATCAAAAATTTCCTAAATTCTATAATAATGCTCTGTCTTAACTTTCACCAAATATGAAAATAGTATTTTTATGGAAGTACTGGACATAGGGGTGGGGCAAAGATGAACAAAATTTGACTCATTGAAAATAAATAAGACGATTGTTGCTGATAAGCATAGATTTGCTGCCATTCTAATGTTGGTGAATTACATGAAGATGAAAAAAAGTGAAGTGTATTTATCTTAGTGCTACATTTCTTCTTTGTAAAATTAATAAAAACTTTTGTCAAAGGTACAAGGTTTTAGTTATTCAAGATGCATAAGTTCTAGAGGTCTACCATTTAGCATAGTGCCTGTAGTTAACAATATTGTATTGTATACATAAACATTTGCTAATAGGATAGATTTTATATTAAATGTTCTTATCATCTATATATATAAAAGCCTAAGTGACTGGTCACTTGATCTGTCGCTATGACACGCACTGACCACCAGGAGGCAGATACTCAATGCAGGAGCTGCCCTCTCATGGTCAGTGTGCTCCCATAGCCTACCTCCCGTGGTCAGCCAACCTCCCATGGTCCCTCCATCCAATGGCCGGCCAGTCCGAGGGACCCCACCCTTGCATGAATTCATGCACTGGGCCTCTAGTCTATATTTATAAAAGCCCAGTGACCAAACGGCAGAATGACCAGAATAACCAGTCGACCAGTTGCCATGATGTGCACTGATCTCTAGGGGGCAGATGCTCAATGCAGGAACTGTCCCCTGTTGGTCAGTGTGCTCCCACAGTGGAAGTGCCGCTCGCCTGACTGGAATGAGCAGCTGCTCCTGCAGTGGGAGCTGCCACTAACAGGTCCAGGGTGAGGCTGAGTCTTTGCACCTATCGAATACTTGAGACAATCCAGACTTTGGCCTGACCCCAGCTGATGCAGGCCCTCTAAGGTGTGTTCTGGAAAGAGTGTGAGGAGCTGGCATAGGTGGTTGGCAATAAAGGACATGACTGTGGATCCCCTGGGGAGGCTGTCCTGATGGCTGAAGATCCTGGAGCATGGCTGCCCTGAACATCCCCCATGGTGTCAACGACCTGGCATCACACATCAAGGACATTACTGAGTGGCTTTGGGGTGCAAAGCTCTCCACCAGGTTCCCCAAGGACACAGAACATGCCTTTACCCAAGATATTACTCTGAAATATCAGCTCAGACTAATTTCCTCATTCACTCATTCAGCAGCTGCTCAGAGGACGGGTCCACAGCCACTTGTCTGACCCGGATGAGTGGCTGCTCCCTCAGCGGGCTGATCCCCACAAGCCACGCCCCCACCAGTGCATGAATCCATGCACCGGGCCTCTAGTGCAAAATAATAGAGTGGGAGGAAACTTTTTGAGATGATGGTTAGGTTTATGGTAAAGGTTGTGGTATATAGTTATATGTTCAAACTCATCAAGAAGTCTACATTATGTTTGTTAAATTATATTAGTTATATAATTAAATTTAAATTCAATCATGTAGTTAAGTATATAATGTTGTTATGTATTTAGTACATATAGTTATAATAATTATGCATACATTATTTGTATGTTAAAAAACTATTACTTAAAAAAAAAAAGAAAACTTCTATAAGGAAACAGACATAAGTAAACTAAAAAGACAAACTACCAACCAAAAGAAAATAAAATATTTGAAACCCTAGCAGTTTGACTCAGTCAATAGAGCGTCTGTCTGTGGACTGAAGGGTCCCAGGTTTGACTCCAGTCAAGGGCACATGCCCGGGTTGCTGGCTCATTCCCAGTAGGGGGCATGAAGGAGGCAGCCAATCAATGATTCTCTCTCATCATTGATGTTTCTATCTCTCGCTCCCTCTCCCTTCCTCTCTGACATCAATAAAGAAATATATTTAAAAAAACCAAACAAACATAGTTATTTAAAAAAGGAAAATAATTGTAACTTATTCAGTAGATAAAGAGTCAGTGTCCTACAGTTGAATCAGAAAAAGGACAAACTACTCCATCAGTTTAGAATAGTCAAGGATATAAATGCAATTCGTAAACATGTACAAATAAGCTCATCCTCACTTGTGATTAGAGAAATATAAGTTAAAACAACCAAATTTTTGGTTAAAATGAAAAACTTTTATGGTAATAGAGGATGGTGATCATTGTGGGGAATGTAAATTGGTGAAAATATAAACATGAATTTAAGTAAAAAATTATTTTGTTAAAACTAAGAATATACTTACTGCCTTCTAATCAGGAATTTCACATTTTGATATCTACTTTGTATGTACACAGGGCGTCTACATTTGTGTATGTATGTACAGATGGGGCAAAAGTAAGTCTACAGTTATGAAAACGTGGAACACAATTTATTCTGTATTATTATTGATCAACTATTGAATTCTTTTCCATAGGAACAACTGTAAATGTACTTTTGCCCCACCCTGTATGTACACTTGCATATATTTATTTATCCATGCATGTATTTATTTATTTCTTTATTCTGATGAGTAATTGGAAAAAAAGATTTGTGAATGACTATAAAAACCAAGCAGAACTGTGATATATTATATGGAACTTAAATTAAATGGAACTTAAAGGAATTACCTAGATTTATAATTTAACATGGATAAATTTTGAAGACAAATTACTGAGTAAAAGTAAGCAAGCAAAAGAATGAAACTTATGCCATATAAATACACAAATTCGTGTACACATATTATTTCTAAACATACACGGATGATCATTGAAGTATTAGAAAGGCTGTAAGGGTGACATTAACCTTAATATGAAGTTTTTTTTTAAAGGAGAATTCATTTTTATATTACACAGGTAATCAAAGTTAGTTATAATAAAACTAACTGATGATTAGCTCTAGATAGATGTATAAGAGTTAAATTAAGATGAACTCAGAATTGGAGGAGAAGCCATGATAAAAGGATTTGGTGATAACACTAAATTCATTTTAATGTATAAATAAGGCTAAACAGCCAAGCAATTATATTTTTAGTACACATTTTATATATTTGAAGTCTTGACAATATAAAAATCATAATGGACAGAAATTAGTAGGAAGACAGAGAAAGGCAAGGAACATATATGTGATGTTGATTTGACATCACTTTGAGGTAAGAAGACATTGTGTTGATATATTTCCTAGTGTACTAAATTATATAAATGTTTTTGTTTAGACTAGACAATTCTCCACCAAGATAAAGTTATGTCTTTTACTGTCAGTCCCTGCCAAATGACTGCCAGCGCCTCAGGTACAGGATTGGCATCATACAAATACTGACGTAACAGTAATGGTACAGGCTATGACAACTTCTTCAGGAAATAGCATGTCCCATTATCAAATGCTGTTGGGTGGCCTGAATTTAGCTACTTATATATTGTATTACTAAATATTCAGGAAAATATACCCTTGGCAATATTCTGATTCTACCCACGTTCTACCTATAGCTACATCACGCATTGGTCAGAAAAACATTTTAGTGGTTGCAAAGCTGCTGTAAGAGAAAAAGACTCAAAATTCATGAGCTATGGATATTCTCCTGATCAAATTACTTGACCTCTCCAAGACCATATTTATCATTTGTCAGATGGGTTGAATGGCTCTTTGGGTCTTACTTAACTACTAGGGTGCATGCAGAAGTAATATATAAAATTCTTTGAGCTTCAAATGTTATACAAACTTTAGTTAATGTTATTTTAATTATTAAGGCTGATTCTTACCTGATGGGCAAAGCAGGGAGTTGAATGTTGCTTCTTTCTCTATTCCTTCAGGCTTTATGTGGAAAGAAAGGAAAATTAAAAGAGAGAATGAACTGACTTTTAGGACACTTGTATTGATAGGGCAACCACAAATTTCTTGATAGTAAAGAGAAGAACTAGAACTGATTGTTCAAGTATATTATATAAATAAATTCTATAAGCAAAAGCAATATGAAGGAGACAGATTGATAGATGAGAAA